GCAAGAGAATCCAAGTTCTATTCCAGAATCCACATAAAAAAATCTGGGTGTAATGGCACCAGTTTGTAATCCCAGTGCTGGGGAGATAGAAACAGGTGGGTCCCTGAGGCTCATTGGCTCTAGCCTACTCAAGATTCAGGCCAGTGAGAAACTCTATTTCAAAAAACACATGGATGGTGCCTGAGGAACACTTAAAGCTGTCCTCTGGCCTCCACATGTATATGCAGATATGTTCAAGGGCAGCCCTACATACATGTGCACCCTCGCATATGAACATGCATGCATAAAAATAGTACTTTACAAATGTTCCCTTGCTGTGCAAACCTTCAGGATGTCTGTCACCACCTGGGACAGTGCTGTGGAGGAAAGCAAAAGGTAACAGTCAAACTGACGGCAATTATAAAACCACTCAATGTTTCTTATCTTCAGTTAAACAAACTCTCATATACAATACTGATATTAATAAAATAAACAATGTGTAATTTTAAAAAATGTAGAGTTGAATCTCCAAGAATAAACACTTATTTGGAGAAAATATGAAACTGATCATAATTTAGGAAAGTTGCTTGGGAGAAAGTTCATTGGCAAGTGACAGTTACAAGCTTGTCTTCAAGAGACAAGAGACTGGTTGCACTGGGTTTGTTGAGTTTCGGGGGCAGGCATCTGCTATCTTAGTGTTTCCATCAGGGTCTCTGGGTTCTATTTGGTTGATTGTGATAAGAGTGATTCCACTTTCCATGTTCTATTTTCACATGGGCTCCACTAGGGCCTGTTGTTGAAATGATGATGAACTGAGGTGTAAAACAGAAAGAGCAACAGTGCCTACTACTGAGCTGGAGGACCTTGGAGTCGAGGAGGAAGGGGAGGAAGGACCTGTGCTGGGTCTGAGTGCTCTTTTTATCTTTATTCAATATGTTGGATGTGTATATGTATGCATGCACCTGTGTGTTTGTGTGTCTGTGTGTGAGAGAGAGTGTACGTGTGTGAGTGTACGTGTGTGAGTGCATATGTGGAGGCCAGAAGGCAACCTTGAATGTCATCCTTAGGAATACAGTCTTCCTCCTTTGAGACAGGTCTCTCATTGGCCTGGCACTCACCGGGGAGGCTAGGGTAGCTGACCAGCAAGCCCTAGGAAACTGCCTTTCTCTTCTCCAGCACTGAAATTACAAGCACAATCCACCATGCCTAGCATTTTTGATGTAGATTTTGGAGATTGAGCTCAGATCCTCATGCTTGCAAGGTAAGCCTTTGCTAACTGAACTGCCTCCTTTATCTTCCTAGTGCATTTGAAGATGGCACAAAGCCCACAGGTGGGGAAGATGGCCCTCACATACACTGCGAGGGACTCCGCACGGAGGCCCTGAAGGGTTAGCTTCCTGACTCCTGAACCTCACTTATGTATAGAGGGGACAAGGTAGGGGTGAAGGAACCACTGTGCTCTAGGTAAGCCAGACATGCAGTGTGAAGAGCTATAGTGACCTGCACAGATTATGCAATGCCTCCAAAGCCCACAGAGGGAGGAGAACTTGTGTGAACAGAGCTGCCAAGTGTGGGCATCACATCTGGAGGGCTGCGTGGAGCACAGTCAGCTTCACATCAGCCAGATTCATCTAGGCTGAGGATCCCAAGAACTGGGAAGTTTAGATTTGGGTCTGGGAGTGAGCCTTGAGGATGAACAACTGACATGGCTGTGAAGTTCTTGTATGTTGCATGTTACGTCTATCTATTATCTATAGCTAGCTATCTAAAACACAAAGCTGGGTAGGGTGGCACAGCCTGTAATCCCAGCACTCAGGAAGATGAAGCAGCAGAACCATGTTCAAGACCAGCCTGAGGTACAAGATATTTTTTTAAACAATTTATTTTATGTGTATGAGTGTATTGCCTGCATGTGCGTAAGTACACCCATGTCATGCAATGCCCAAGGAGATCAGAAGAGGGTGTCAGATGCCCTGGAACTGGAGTTACAGACTGTTGTTAGCCACTATGTGGGTACTGGGAATCAAACCCGGGGTTTTCTGCAAGAGAAGCTAGTGCTCTTAACCACTGAGCCATCTCTCCAGCCCCCATAGCAAGAGCTTTTTACAAAAGGATTTTGCAGGGCGTGGTGGCACACGCCTGTAGTCCCAGCACTTGGGAGGCAGAGGCAGGCGGATCTCTGTAAGCTCAAGGCCAGCCTGGTCTACATAGTGAGTTCCAGGGCAGCTGGAGCTATAGGGAGACCCTGTCTCAAAAAGACAAAAGAAAAGAAAAAGAAGGATTTTATCTATTTTTATTTTGTGTGTATGGGTGTTTTGCATGCATGTATGTAAGTGCATCATGTACATGCCCGGTGCCTGTAAAGGCCAAAAGACAATGTTGGGTCCATTGGAACTGTAGTTAATAATGGATGTTGGCCACCATGTGGGTGCTGGGAGCTGAACTCAGGTCCTCTGGAAGAGCAGTAAGTGCTCTTAATTGCCAAACTATCTCTCTAGCCCTCACAACAAGATCTTAATAAAATAAACAAGAACATAGAACAAGGCATTTTCCTTTTCACTGTTTTTTAAATGTACAATTCAGTGTCATTAATTGCATTCACAATTTTTCACAACCATCACCATTATTTTCAAAATCTTTTCACTACCCCCAGAATTCTAATTATTGGGCAATAACCTCCATTCTTCCCTCCCTCTAACCCTCGATAAACTTGAGTCTACTTTCGGTTTCTACAGATTTGCCGGTTGTAGGTTCCTTACACAAGTGTCATCATCTGGTATTTGTTCCTTTGTATCTGGTCTGTTTCACATAGCACAATGCACAATATCCGCAAGGTTCACCTGTGTTGTATGATGCATCAGAACTTCATTCCTTTCCAAAGCAGCATTTTGTGTGTGTGCGTGTGTGTGTGTAACCTATGTACCATTCATCTGTTGATGGCCATGAGTTGTTTCTACTTTTTGGCCTGGGTAAAGAATGGAGCAGTGCACACTGGTCTACAAGTGTCTGTTCCAGTCCCTCGTCTCGATTCTTTGGGCATTACTTAGAAGTGAGGTGGATGAATCACAGGTTGCTCTATACTCAACTCCTTGATGAACTGCCAAGCTGTCTCCCATCAAGTTGATACCTTACATTCCCACTAGTAATGCACAGAGATCCCACTTTACCCACATCTTCCCCTGCACTTTTCTTAAACAGCCTTTCTAGTAGGTGTGAAATGGTATTGGATTTGTGGTTTCATTTGTTTTACCTTAACGACTAGTGATGTGGATTTTTCTTTCTGTGCTAGGGGCCAAACCCAGGGCCTCACGCATTCAAGGCAATCACTGTCCCTCTGAGTTGCAATACCCAGCCCTTGAGTATCTTTTCATGTGCTTATTGACATGTACGTTTTACCTGTAGGACTATTTGTTCAACTCCATTATCCATCGTGCTACAAGAGTTCTTTATATTTCTGGATATTAAGTCCTTACTAGAATAATGCACTTGCAAATATTTTCTCCCTTCCCATGCACGGATCCCCTCTTGATAGCATCCTTTGATGTACAAATACTTTTAATTGTGAAGTCCAATTTATTAGTTTGTGCTTTTGATGTACTCAAGAAATCATGGCTAAATTGTATCAGAATACATCATCTTGATATTTTGGAGAGCAACATCCTTCTTGCCCATCTTGGCTCCAGCAAACTCTGCCAGGTATGTGTGTTGCTGTGCACAGAGCCGCCTACTATAGGGTTGGGTGATGAGAAATGATAGGCTCAGCTAAGATCAAAATTAACTGTAATTCACCAGTCTCTTCCAAGCTCTCATGTACTATAAGTGTTTCTTGCTTTTTGAGACAGGGTCTCACTATGTAGCCCTGGTTGGCCTGGAACTCACTATGTAGACCAGGCTGGCCTCAAATTCATAGAGATCCTCCTGCCTCTGCCTGCTGAGTGTACAAGTGTTCTTCTGTAGTATGAAAGAGTATAACAGAATCTATATCCTGAGGTCCAAAATAGCTACTTCAGACCTGAACTCCTGTCAGTTCTGATGGAGGGATGGATTCTTGGAATCTTCTTCAGTGTCTTTCCTGATGTCATCTTTATATAAGTAGGTTTTATGGCCAGAATAAGCCACTGTGAATTTTAATAGCTTATACAAGTTGTCTCTTTCAAACAACTCCCATGGGCAGGTATGCCTCATTACTGACTTCTGCTCTGCAACAACTGAGCTCTGAGCACCTCAGTCCTGCAACTTCTGAGCCCCTTTCCTCTAATTCAGAGGCTGTTCACATCCCATTATGGGGACTCTGGGTGGTACCTCCCTTAGGTGACAGCATAGCACACATCAGAGGTCTCACTCCCTGGCCACCATCAGGAGAATCTTTCCTCTTTCTGAAGATGAGGGGCAGAACAGCTTATTTCCAGTGCTGAGGCAGAAAACTTTATTCCTTGCATCTAGAATCCATTTTTCTGGGGATATAAGCCAGTTAGTAGAGTGCTTGCCCAGCGTGCACAAAGTCCTGGGTTTGATTCCCAGTGTTGTATAAGCTGGTTGATGTAGCACGTGCCTGTGATCCCAGAACACAGGAGGTCCAGATAGGAGGATTACAAGTTCAAAGTCATCCTTGGTTACATAGGGGGTTGGAGGACAGCCTGGTATACATGAGGCCCTATTTCAAAAAAGAAAAAAACCAAAAAAGAAAAATGTTCACAAGAGTAGTTTGGGGATTTGTGATATAATTGCTTTTAAAGTCAGTTATAAGTCTTTGTCTTTTGTGGGTGGTGTGGTTAACGAATGGCTCAATAGAAACACCATGTTAAGACCCTCTAGGTCCCCTAGATTTTGCCAGTTATTAAATGGTCTGGTTTTCCATCATATAGTGGCCTCCAACATCACATTGTGGTGGCACATGCCTTTAATCCCAGCAATCAAGAGGCTGAGGCAGCAAGACTGAGCATTTGAAGCCAGCCTAGATCAGTCTGGACCACAACATAGCAACACTTGTCACAAAGAAAACAGTAACAACAAGACAAAGCAAGATTTTAACAGTTGTTTTTTTTTAATTTTCTGTACTTATATTCATACAGCTGTAAACTCAAGGAATCATCCGATACTTGTATAAATCCAGAGAACTGTTAATAAGCACCTTCAGGTTTCCACAGTTGAAGAATTTACCATATAAAACATTTTAGAAAGAATCTAGTAAAATGAATAAAAGTTATAAAAGTTGTACAACATCATGATGAACATGACAGTGGGCTTTGACAAATGACAAATTTCTAAAAAGAAAGAAACGGAGCCTACTTTATGGGGCTGGGCTGCACAGAAGACTCACATGTTCCTTAAACCCTGTGATTCTTGGGGATATGGTAGTTCTCTCCAGACTCCAATTATTTAAGGAGCGACTCCCCCCTGATTCAGGTCCCCTGGGGCCAATGGAAGCAGGTGAGAGGAGGTAGGAGGAGCTGGGGTTGGGGAGTTATATATGATAAAGCTGGAAGAAAAGGAAGCCTTCTCCCCACAAGAAAAACATCAGACAAATTCTTCTATGTCCTCAGGGCCAAGTGCCCTTTGGCAAAATGTGCCATTTTTCTATGGAGTTATTTAAGGGTTTTGGTTATTGCTGTCCCTAAGCCCCTCTGCCATCTTTTCCTCTTGGGTTTTCCATTCCTGTTTATCCATACCCATCTCTCTGTGAGAGTTCCCTCTGAACTGTCCACTCCCTTGCTCTGTGCTGTGCTGACTTAAAACTTCTAATGCTTGACTTTCAATCCAAAATTTCTATTCTAGAAAGATGAACAAAAGAAGCAGATGAAAAAAAGAGAGAGGTGTAGCTACTCACATGGTCAGGAGATGTTTTTGAAACAAAGGCAGACAGAAAGAGGAAAGGCAGCAATGGTCCCTTGAACTACACCATGAGCAATTAAGGGTCTGGACCACTAGTAGAAGTACTCAGCTCTTCCTAGATTGTGTTTTCAGGTGAGTGTCTTGCAAGGGCCACAGAGAGAGGGAGAAAAAAGAAGCAAGTTCATGGTTGAGAGGACACTGGTTCTCAGGAGCTGAGGCCAGAGGCACTAGAAAGCATAATTACTTGGTCCAAGCCCCAGCCTGGGACCCAGAGGGGTCTCCACAAAGAGACTTGGAAAGTGGTACCAGGAGTGGGGCTGAAGTCTCATGTAGCATCAGAGACTAGATTCTGATGTAGGTGCTTTAGCTAAGACAAATAATTTGGTAATCACGGTTACAGTTTAAGGCACATCAAAATAATCATCCCCATCCTCAAACATCTTGACTCTACATCCTGAAATTCCTCTCATAAGACATTTCCTTGACTTACACATTTAATTACCAATGGCTGCTGCTGAAATGCCAGTATTTTTAATCTGGAGGGGCTGCGTATCACCATCCATCAAATACCATGAAGCCCTAGGATAGGAGTTGGCTCTGGTTACATGGCAGTGCATGCTCACGCAGTCAGAGTCTTGGGCAGGAAGAAGTAGGACAGAAAAGGAGGGGAGTTAGATGGGTGCATAAAGACAGAAATCAGAGCACCGAAAGAAAAGGAATGACTCACAGTTTGCCTAAGCTGAGGTTAGTCTTAAACTCCTGATCCTGCCTCCACCTCCTAAATGTTGGAAATACAGGCATGTATCATCACATCTGGCTTTTCACTCAGAACTCTATTATCTTGTCTGAGGACTGGGGTCAAGGTATGTGTATGTGTGTGTGGTTCCTGCTCTCGGGTAGGGGTAGAGACTTTCCCATTACTGGAGTCCAGGGTGATCGTTTTGGGGGAAGAGTGAGGGGAAGTTGTTGGGGCTCAGGCTGGGCTAGACCTGGACCTAATGGTCACGCCACTGCAGGACAATTTTCAGTCCATATCAAGTCATTTTAAGTAGAGTGTTACTGTGAAATTCTTGGAGAGGGAGCAAGGCATTCCTTTCTTTATTTCCGCTCAATGCAGTCAACGCCCAGAGTGTTGTCGGGGCATCGGCAGGTTCTGCTCCCTGGGGTGGCCAAGCAGAGGTGGGTACAGCCGCCATTATTCACAGAGCAGTAGTTGTGACCTAGAAAAGATGGAAATCAGAGTTACAGCCTCCTCTCTAATCAGCTGACATCTACAATAGCAGCCTCTCCATTAGCCTCCTTTGTGGCTCTAAGGGGCCAAGCTGAGCTATTGCTGCTTTATCATAGATCAGACAGGTAAGAACCCCCATTCCTGATTTGGGGATGTTGTGGTTCATCTTGATTGCCAACTTGATGGGATTTAGAGTCGCAATGGAAGCACACTTCTGGGCATGCCTGTTAGCAGTTTCTAGGTTAACTAGTACAGGAAAAGCCACTCTAAATGTGAGCAGGATCACCCCATTGCCTGGGGTCTCTGACTAAAGAAAGAGGAGGAAGTGAGCTGAACACTAGCATCTATCTCTCTCTGCTTCCAGACTGCAGATGCAATGTGACCAGCTGCCTCACAGTCCTGCCACCAATGCTGTCCCTTCCGGGATGGACCGCACCTTCAAACCGAGCCACAATCAGCCCTTCCTTAAGTTGTTTTTGTCAGGCGTTTTGTCACAGCAGTGAGAAAAGGAACTAATAATGCAGGGGCCTGTGCAAAGACAGCACTGAAGCTACTTAGTAGATCCCAGGGAGGATCCTCCAACTCCAGCATGGAACTGAAACCTTAATATGGTAGATAATTTTCATCTAACACATCTTTGGCCTCACGCAAGAAAGAGGATGGCTTAGGGGAGAGGCCTTTGGGAGGAGGCACAGCTCAGCACCGACTATGGAGCCAGGACACCTGGACTCACCTGCAGTTCGTCTGCTATAGCTCTGCAACTCAGAATAAGCACCATGAAATGGGTACAACAGCACCTACCACACAGGGTTGCCATGGGGATTAAATAGACCAATGAACAGAAGGCACTCAGCACTGTGAGCTGACATCAAGGAGCTTCCAGGAAGTGTCACGTGCAATTTTCAATTCTTCCTTCTGTGTGTGTGCATATTTGTGTATATGTGGGTACACATGCATGTAGAAGTCAGAGAAGAACCTCAAGAAGCACCCCTCAGGCTACCTAAGGAATAAGCCCTTTCCTAAGGGTTTTATTCCTTACTATCTTCTTTGGAGACAGGGTCTTCACTGGTCTGGAACTCTCCAAGTATGGTAGGCTGGCTAGCCAGCGAGCCCAAGGGAGCTTTATCTTCACATCCCCAGCACTGGGATAACAAATTCAAGGCACTATGCCTGGATTTACATTTTATTAGTTTATTTATTTTTATTATATGTGTATGAATGTTTTGCCTGCATGTATGTACGGGCACTTGTGCATGCAATGCCCACGGAGACCAGAAGATGGCATTAGATTCACTGGAACTGGAGTTATAGCCAGTTGTTAGCCACCATGTGAATGCTGAGAATCGAACCTAGGTCCTTTGCAAGAGCAGCCAGTGCTCTTAACTGCTCTCCAGCCCCATGCCTAGCTTGTTTTTATGTGGGTTCTAGAGACCAAATACAGATCCTGTGCTTGCAAGACAAGCACTCTATCAACTGAGCCATTTCCCTAGCTGTGTGCTTATAATTTATCATTGTTGTTGCTGTTAGGCCAAGTGCATGAATGTTTAAAGCAGCAGCCATCCAGGAGCAGGAGAAATGGCTCAGCCATTAGAAGCACTTCCTGCTCTTGCAGAGGACCAAACTTCAGCTCCTGGCACCCACATCAGGTGACTCACAGCTGCCTGCAACTCCAACTCCAGGGGATCTGATCCCCTCTTCTGACCTCCACAGGTACCTGCATGTATGTTGTGCACATACATACACTTAGGTACACACACACACACATACAAATAAATGAATGAATGAATAATTTTTAAATAGCAGTGATCCAACAGTGAGTTCCTATTTGTACCTGAAGACTGTACACTTCAAGACTCAGTTGTACTAACCATATCCATCCCAGACCTTCAGATTTCTCATTGATGTGTCTGACTCCCCACTCAACAGTGAAGACCCTTGGGGGAAGCGACTGTGTCTAGCCCAGTGTGGCTACTAGCAGCTACGTGTTGACTCTGAGCCTCAGGGACAATCCCCTAGACACCAGAGAAAGCAAGTGATGGACTAAAAGATTTCCACGATGCTGAAGCTGGGCCTCCTGCAGGAAGGAGCCAGGGATGTGTTTAGGCCACCTTGATATTCTAAGTGGGTCACGTAATCTAAGTGCTGATTCACATTCAGCAGCATGAATGCGTTACCTTGGGGACACTGGGACAAGGCAGTGGTGATCCCATATGGCCGGGTCTGCTTGTGGGGGTGGAAGGTATCCATCTCTTTGGAAATAGCAAGGTCAACAGCAATCACTGAATTCCTGCAAAGCACCAAAGGATAGAGGGTAACAAATGGATCTGGTGGCTTCAACTGTTCTCAGAAGAGTTAGGTAGCCTCTTCTGTGGGTTGGGAGAGAAACTGACATAGTGGTCTCACTCTCTAGGTGTCCCTCCCTCCCTCTGGGGGTGGACCAAGACTGACGTTTGCTGGTTTTTTAAAAAATTATTTATTTTGGGGGCTAGAGAGATGGCTCAGTGGTTAAGAACAGCGACTGTTCTTGTAGGAGACTGTGGTTAGATTCCCAGTACCCACATGGTGGCTAACAACCATCCATAACTCCAGTTCCAGGGGAATCCAATGCTCTCTTCTGACCTCCAAGGGCATTGCATGACACAGGTCATGCATAATTCATGCAGACAATACACTTATATGCTGGGTGTGGTGGCACATGACTGTAGTCCCAGCACTTGGGAGGCAGAAGTAGGAGGATCTCTATGAGTTCAAGGCCAGCCTGGTCTACATAGCAAGTTCCAGGACAGCTGGGGCTACAGGGAGACCCTGTCTTGAAAGGACCAAAAACAAAAAACAAAAAAAACAATACACTTATACACACAAAATAAAAATAAAATACTTTAAAAAATTATTTATTTTTAATTTATGTGTATGAGTGTTATGCCTGCATATATGTAAGTACACCATGTGCATGCAATGTCCATGGAGGCCAGAAGAGGGCATCTAATCTCCTGGAACTAGAGTTTCAGATGGTTGTTAGTTGCCATGTGGTGCTGGGAACCAAACCCACATCCTCTGCCAAAACAGCCAGTGCTCTTAACCGCTGAGCCATCTCCCCAGCTCCAGTGTGCTGGCTTTTTAATGATGGGCCATGTCATGAAGCTCTTCCCTCTGCTCTAAAGTCCAGGCTTTCTGTCAGGCCAGCCACCTACTTGGAGTGACCCTCCCTTTGCAAGAAGAGTGGTCGATTAGAATCCATGGGAGCAGTGCAATTTAAGAACGACAGTGAGGCAGTGACATACTATAAGCATGACGCCCACAAGCCATGTGACCCCAGGCAGCTTCTGGGGGCACAAATGTACATGCTCAGAAAGTCCAGGTTTCAAACTTGGACATCCTTGGCCAGGAACAGGACAGTCCTCCTCCTTTACCCCTCCATACCTCCTGACAGCCAGGAAGGGAGAAGGGGGAGGGCATCTCTGAAGGCTCAAAGGTTAGGACAAGAGGCCAGAAGGAAAGGGCTCCCACAGACAGAGGAGGGGCACAGGGCTGCCCAGCAGCATAAAAGCAGCCTACATACGTCTTCCAGTCTGTGTAGTACAGATTCTTCCCGTAGCTTGTCACAGCGAAAGGATACTGGAGTCCTTCAAGAACCTTGCGTCGGCCGGGCTGAGCAGGGTTTAGGCATTCTGCCCTATGGGTGCCTGTGTGTGGCAAACACAAGTTGGTCATTGTTCATGCAAGAAACAGGCTCTTTGTGTCAGAAAACGAGCGTCTGAAAGGCAGGGGTGGGGGAGTTCAGTGTTGCAATGACCTGTCCTGGGAAACACAGAGGGTTGGCTCTTCAGCTCTGACACACCATCCCTGTCTCCTGTCTTACCCCTTTCATCAATTGACACCCACCTGAGTTCCGGCACCCATACCTGGTCCTCTGGGGAGATGTGAGCCAGGGTAGAGAAGTCCCAGCCTGTCCCAGTCTCCCCAGTTCTTTGTCTGAGAAGGAACTTTGCCATCTCCTGGCCTTTACTCAGTCCCCCGTGCCCCCGTGCACCTTAGCATCTCCAGACCCTTCCTTCCTGGAGCTAGAGCACTGAAGAGATATTACTGGTCACCAGCTGTGACTGGGCCTGTGACTAATGCCTGCGTGATGACTGTCACAGGATCGTAATGGTAATACAAGGATTCCCAGCCCACCCTGTCCCACCCTCTGTACACCTGCACAAGAACACACAGTCAACAGAGACTTTCACAGGAAGAGATGACAGATGGTCCTGCGGGACAAGCATCTTGCCCACATCTTGAGCCTGCACTGCCAGGATAGGGATTCATGTTCTGTTGTCTCTGCCTAGGCTCAAAGCCCTGCCTACGCCCTTGGAGACAAAAGGAAGCTATGGGGATGTATGTGACTTGTGAATTGCTTAAAAGGTATCAGGCTAACAACAGACTTCATGTGGTACCACTTAGAACAGGGGTCAAAGCCAGGCCTGGTGGTGCAGGCCTGTCACCCTAGCTACTTGGGGTACTGAATCAAGAGGATCCTAAGCTCAGGGCCTGCTTGGGCTACAGTGTGAATTCTAGACTAGCGTAAGTGACTTAGTGAAACCCCATCTCAGAAAACAAAAAGAACTGGAGATAGAGCATGTATGTGTAAGTTCAATCCTCAGTACCCTCCCCCACTGAAACAGGTGTCAGTTAGCAATTATTTCAGGTTCTGCAGGTTAAAAGGCAAAACCGGGGAGGGTACACAGGTAACTATACAAAACACTTAAATGTGACATTTAACAGTGTGAAAACTGTTCAGATCCTGCAGTTACACAAATCAGGCAACAGACAAAATTTGCCCACTTTTAGGTTAGAAGAATAAGAAGACTGAGAACTGTTGCCAGGTAACATCAAGCTTCCTGTTACCTGCATCCACCCAGCAGAGCTGAGATGAAAACGCATCAAAGGTCAGGCCATTCGGCAGGCCCAGGTTGTCCTGAGCGAGAATCCTCCGGTTGGTGCCATCCATGTACGAAGTTTCAATTTTTGGATTATCTCTGTTCCAGTCTGTCCAATAAAGGTTCCTGGAAAGGTAAAGGAGGGGAAAGAGGAAGAGAGATCCCGAGCATGAATGGAAATGTTTGTGAAAGACACTCTGAAAGCACCTGGCAGAAGAGACCAGCAGAGAGGAAAACATCCAGCCATGGGATCCTGGGTTGCTAAGGTACTTTTCTTTCCACGTTACTTTGATTCTTTGCTCAATTTTGGAAACTCTGTTACTAACAAATTCTATTTCCTTTATAATTGACATAAAATATCTTGAAAAAGCTGTTAACAAAACAAAACATGGGGGCGGGAGTTAGAGAGATAACTCATTGGGCAAAATGAGACTTCAGTTTAATCCCCAGTGCCAGTTTAAAAAGAAAACGCTGGCTGGGTGTGGTGGCGCACGCCTGTAGTCCCAGCACTTGGGAGGCAGGGCAGGCAGATCTTTGTGAGTTCAAGGCCAGCCTGGTCTACATAGTGAGTTCCAGGACAGCTGGGGCTACAGGGAGACCCTGCTTCAAAAAGACATTTAAAAAAAAAAAAAAAAAAAAGCTGAGTGTGTCGGGGCTGGCGAGATTGCTCAGCAGTTAAGAACACTGGTTGTTCCTGCAGAAGACCCGGGTTCGAATCCCGGCACCCACATGGCAGCTAACAACTGTGCTTAACTCCAGTCCCAGGGGATCCAACAGCCTCTTCTGTCCCCCACAGGCGCTGCACGACATGGGTGCACTTACCTACATGCAGGCAATACATGCATACACATAAAATAAAAATAATAAATAAAAATTAAAAAAAAAAAAGCTGAATGTGGTGGTGGCCAAGGTTTGAAATCTCAGTGCTGGCTTACTTGGGGAGGTTCAGGCTAGTGAGAGACCCTATCTCAAAAAAAAAAAAGGTGAGGGGCTGGAGAGATGGCTCAGTGGTTAAGAGCACTGGCAGCTCTTGCAGAGGACCCAAGTTCAAATCCCAGCATCCACATGGTGGCTAACAACCATCTGTAACTCCAGTTCCAGGGAGTCCAACGCCCTCTTCTGACCTCTGCAGGCATTGCACAATGCGGGCTCATGGGCGCTATACATGCAGACGATATACTCATACACATAAAATAAAAAGTAAATTTAAAAAAATGTAAGCAATGCCTGAGGAATGACACCCAAGGTTGTTTCTGGCCTCAACACTCATGCTATCATACACACACACACACACACACACACACACACACACACGGAGTAATTCCCCATGTGCTATCACAATGTAAGAGGCCACGGCAAGACCAAGAGGACTAGACTGTGACAAGATGCAGTTCTCAGCAGAGGCGGTGGTCGAGGTCACTGCTGTCTGCCTAGGGACCATAATACAAGGGATGCTGTGTCTGAAGGAAGCATCTTGGGGCTGGGGCCTGGGCTGTGAGATCACAACCTTGCTGTAGGGTAAGAGAGAGCAAGCGACAGGTTGAAGAAGCCCACAGGAAGTCTCTAGGGACACTTGACCAGGTCTGTGCCAACAAGACATCCCAGGGGCATGTTTAGGCCAGCCCAGTACTCCCACAGGGTCTGTGCAGTTTGAGTGTTAATCCACATTAAACTCTATGCTGGGCAGCTTAGTGTTTTATCCCAGCTTCTGGGTGCCGCCATACAAAGTCTCTTGATAGAAATTCTAAACCAGAACATGGCATGAAGTCCACACTGCAGTATGTGTGAGGATCTTATCAGCTTCTAGACTCTTCAATCATGTTCTCTCTCATCCACCTCAGGAGAGCAATGCATTAGAACCTTACCTGAGACCATCCAAAAGACCAGGGCAACCAGAATAGACAGATGTACGTGTGAACACAAACATACCCTCTCACGGAGTCCGTTACAATGCTTCTGGGATTCACCAAATCTGTATCAAACAGCACCCGGCGCTGTGTGCCATCCATCTTTGCAACTTCTATTCGATCCAGATGAGAATCTGTCCAGAAGATGTTGCGGCCAAGGTGGTCGAGGGCGATGCCTTCTGGGCTTCCAAGATCTAGAAGCAAATGCAGAGTTCCACTGGTTGTCTTCTTCCCTAAGATTAGACTCACACTCTTCTCTCCCTCTTACCCTACACTTTTAGGTGGTGGTAGGGATAGAATCCAGGCCTTCAAGCTTGCTAAGCAAGGACTCTATCACCAAGACACACTCTCATCCCCCAAATTTTCTGATTACTCAGTTGTCTTTCACAGGCATTCAAACCTTATACCTTGAAAAACCAAATGGAAATGTGCAGTCTTACTGTTTGTGAGATAAGCAACAAATTCAAAAACAACTCATTCATCCTCCCCCATCCATTGGGTACCACACTGGGAACCAGGGAGATTACTGTGACAGAGCTTAGCCCTGTCCATCAAGAAGCCCACAGCCAATCACAATTCAAACTGAGGTCTAGTTTCTATGGGCACACAGAGGAAGACAGATGTAGAGCCAGCCTGAAGACACCACAGAAGGGTTCCTGGGGGAGGAGGCTCCTGTAGGAACTGACTCCTGAAGGACCAATGGGAATTTATCATTCAAGAATCCTGGATCAGGGTTTTCAGGTATAAAGGAAGGTTACATGTGGTTTAAGGCAAACTGTAATTTTGTATGGCTGTAATTTTGTATGTAAGGGTGTAAGAGAGTGGCCCACAATGAAATGTGGATGTGGGGTAAGCATGGGAAGATCTTTAGTAAAAACAGGAGATTTTCCTTCTTTGATAATTATGGGGCAGAGGTGGGGGAAGGCATTTCAGGAAATAATGTTTTCAACCATACTGTTAGTACTTTAATAGAAGCATAAGGGGGTTAAAACAAGGGGCTTGGCGATTATAAATAACACTGTGCTGGAGAGCTTTAGTGTCAACTTGACACACCTGGGTTGAGGGAGACTCAGTTGGGGAATTTCCTCTATTGGACTGGCCTGTGGCCATGTCTGAGGGGCATCTTCTTGATGAGTGATGTGGGAGGGCTCAGCCCACTGTGGGTGGTGCCACCCCTGGGCAGGTGGGCCTGTGTTGTGTAAGAAAGCAGGCTGAGCAGGGGCCAGGGGAGCAAGCCAGTAAGCAGCATTCTTCTGTGGCCTGTGCTCCAGCTCCTGCCTCCGGGTTCCTGCCCTGAGTTCCTACCTTGGGCTCTGGGATGAACTGTGACCCGGGAGACGTAAGCTGAATAAACCCTTTCCTCCCCAAGTTGGTATTGGTCAGAGTGTTTTGTCAGAGCAATGAAGAATAAACTAAGACAAACACCCCTCTCAGTCTTCATGGGCACTAGCAACAGTGATCAAGACAAAGGTTGGCAATGGGTAACAGAATATTCTATGCAAGTCCCCAGCACCCATCTGACTTTATTCCAAGTTCAAGATTCAGATGTTTTCTGACTGTAAGTTAAAAAAATGAAATGACATTGTAAGATTTATTGGTATCGCTTGAGATTCTTCCCCTGTATCAACTAGAGGAAGACTGAAGGGCATTTAGCTTCCTGAAACAGGCGACCCTACCCAAGGAATCTGATGTATGAGGAAGACTTCCCAACCCCACTTTCTCTCATCTCTATGTGAGCAAGCTGAACCCTCACCTCAGCCTTCACTAGACCCAAGCATGGCATGGAAGCAGCGAAGGGGCTAATGTGGTGGCCCAGTGGGTAACGTGCTTGCTACACAAGCATGAGGACCCACGTTCAATTCCTAGCACCCACAAAAAACCTAGGGGTAGCAGGGCATGCCTCTAATCCAGTGCTGGGCAGGCAGAGACAGGAGGAGCTCTGGGGTTTGCTGGCTAGCCAGTCTAGCCCAATCAATGAGCTTTAGCTTCAGTGAGAGACTCTGTCTCAAAAAATAAGGTGGAGGGGCTAGAGAGATGGTTCAGTGGTTAAGAACACTGGTTGTTCTTGCAGAAGACTCAGGTTCGAATCCCAGCACCCACATGGCAGCTAACAACTGTCCATAACTCCAGTCCCAGGGGATCCGACAGCCTCTTCTGACCTCCGCGGGCATTGCACAACATGGGTGTACTTACCTACATGCAGGCAATACACACGTACACATAAAATAAAAATAATAAAATAAAAATAAAGTGGAGTGTTGGGGGACCCTGCTGCTAAAGGTTGTAGTCCTCCATGTCCGGAGAGCTCTAAGGGGCTTGGTGCTATATGGAAGGACTCCCTTTCTTAGAGGGGGCCTCCTGCTCTCTGCCTGACTTACCTGGAAAGTGCCACCAAGCACAGATGCCTGGCTTTATTTGGAACATGACCTTTGGCATAGTTACCTGCAATAAAACTGACCCCAGGGTTTTTTCTATATGATAATTAGGCATTGCCCTATAGTCGGATGATAGGATTCCCCTACCACATGTACATAAAGCATACTATGAGAACCTATCAGCTGAAGCTTTGGCTGCTGCCTCCACACTATATTTTCCCTGACCCCCACTGAATAAATGGAGCTGTTTCACTGAATCTGACTCCCCAGAAAGTCTTTTTCCATCATGCTCACTGGCCGTCCTGACCCAGTTCGTCACTTCTGCTCCCTTTGTCCTCGTGGACTGGTGGCCAACGACCCACGAGGGGAGGGAGAGACCCACAGTGGAGAGTGATTGAAGACATCACCAACATTGACCTCTGGCTTCCATATGCATGTGTACACACATGCCTTGCACACACACACACACGCATGCATGCATGCATGCACACATGCACGTTTCTGACTTGAATCCAGCCAGAGGAAGGTGATTCAGAACTAGAAACTAAGCTTGCATAGTCTGTTATTCACACCCAAAGAAGAGCAGTACAAAGTAGGAAGATCTTTCTCACATCACTAGGGGCCAAGGGACAGTGAGGCCGACATCCAGGGCCCCTGTGGTTTTCAGGCAGAACCCGAGTCACCCAACCTGGGTCAAACCTGGAACGAGCACGTACTGTGGGAGCCCTGAGTGACTTGGACACATGGGGGCGGTGTCCAGAGGGTCTTTACATGGTATCCAGAAGAACCCCTGGGAGCCCAGGTCATACTATCACCTCCTGAACAGCCCTGGTCCTGATCTCACATTAAAGAGCCATAGAGCTGCTTCTCCTGCAACCAAGAAAACATGGCTCCGTGGGCTGTACGTCCAGAGGATAGGGCTGGAAAAGGTCAACCCTGGCTGTGCAGAACTTGGGGACCATAAGGATATAGGCTTTTCTGCACTCCTGTGGAAAGAAAGTTGAGTGTGGTACCTAGTGAAGACGCTATCTGGTTGGGACTTTAAGACACAAAGAATGCAGGAGGAAAAGACTACTATGTCCCCAAGCCCCACCTGAGATGCACTAAGAGTTTCTACTAGAAGTTTCTTTCTCTCTCCTACAAAGATCTCATTTTGGCTCAATTCTGCGTTTTCAGTTTGCCAAGTTGGCTTTTTCCAGTTTCCCACTGTGCTAAAAGAAACTCTTGGCTGATTTCTGGCTCCCAAAGTGACAGGAAATAGCAGACAATGATCTATTCCCCTCTTCCACTGGGTTTTGAAATCAAATCACAGATAACAGCAACATTTTCAACAGAGCGGCTAAAAGCATTTTCAAAGTTCTCTTCATTAAGCCTGGGCATGAAAGCTAATTAACATCATTTAAATAGCCCACTGGCTCCCAGAAAAGGATTCAAGGGCCAAGTACAAAGCCAGAAGGATTTCAGTCACCCTCGGCTCCATTCCTGATGCATCATCATTAGGGAAGGAAGCAAAGAAGTGTGTGTGGGGGAGGTGCCTGCCTGAGGACTGATCCTACAGCACCAGGACCCTTCTAGAACATCAACTGTAAGAGAGCATTAAATTAGGGGCTGGAGGGATGGCTCATCAGTTAAGAGCACTGGCTGCTTTGTAGAGGATATGGGTTCGATTCCCAGGACCCACATAGCAGCTAACAACTGTCTGTAACTCCAGTTCCAGGGGATCTGACACCTCTTCTGATCTCTGAGGGCATTACATGACACACATGCACCCACCGACACGCAGGCATTATACTCATACACATAAAATAAAAATAATAAGCTGGGCGTGGTGGCACATGCCTTTAATCCCAGCACTCTGGAGGCAGAGTCAGAGGCAGAGTCAGAGGCAGGCGGATCTCTGTGAGTTCAAGGCCAGTCTGGTCAAATAATAAATAAAATATTTTAAAAAGAGAGTGTTAAGTTAGAAATCGAAATAACTATATGAGGTCATCCCTAAATTACAAGAAACGTAAAACAAGGCTTATATTTGAAAGGATCGAATGTTTACAGAGGAAGCAGAAGACTCTGTACAACTAATATCATCAGCATTCCAATGCAAAAACTGCCGAGTCAGCTATGAGTCATGGTGTGGGCACCTTGTGCCTCCATTTCAGCACAACAGACTTTTTACAGACCCTGAGGTTTTTGATGAGATAATTAAACTTCCATGTACAATGGATTTGTTTTTGAACCCAGGGCCTCACATGCTCTATCTCTAAGCTATATCCCTAACCCTCTTGTAACTTTTTATTTTGGGACAAGGTCTCACTAAATTGCCTAGACTGGCTGTAAGCTCACTCTATAGCCCAGAGAAGCTTTGAACTTGTGATGCTCTTGCCTCAGTGTCTCAACTAGCTGGGATGACAGGCCCACACCAGTGAGCCTGGCTGGTTTTGATTTGTTGAATGAAGGTATTAAAAGTGGTTTACAGAGCCAGATGTGTGGTAGTGCATACCTTTAATCCCAGCACTCCGAAGGCAGAGGCTGGTGGAACTCTGTGAGACTGGGGCTAGTCTGGTCTACATAGTGTGTTCCAGGCCAGTCAGGGCTACATTAGTGAGACTCTGTTTCACCCTGCAAACCCACAAAAAAATAACGTATACAGTTCATGGCTCTAATTGACATCCTTAAGGTTAAATGTCAAAGCTAGGCTATGCTAAAGCAACACCCACTTTATTATATGTAATTCAACAGAAACAGAATTGCCTTGAAAATTGCTGGACTCCTCTGGCCTCTGGCCATTAAGGCAAGAATCGGGGAGAACAGAAGTATGTGAGGTAAGAAAGAGGAGCTACCCCACCTCAAATTGCTACATTGAAATGACAACTCTAACCAACAATGGTCTTGAGGATAGACTCTACTTTCAGGGCTGGGTGTGGTGGCAGATACTTGTGATTCAGTTCTGGGCAGGTAGAGGCAGCAGGACTATATAATGGGTTATATGGTGAGACCCTGTTTCAAAATACATAACTAACTAAAGAAAGAAATAGGCCAGGTATAGTAGTACATGCTCATAATACCAGCACTGGGGAGGTGGAGGCAGAAAGACCATGAATTCAAAGTCATTCTCAACTAAGTAGTACATTCTAGGCTAGCCTGGGCTACATGAAAGCCTGTCTCAAAAATTAAAAAATAAATAGTCTCTACCTTCAGGAATTTGCCAATAGGCTTGTGATCTACCTAACTCGTTTTTTTTTTTTTAAAGACTTAATTTTAGT